AAATCAAGGTGATAGTTAATAGACTAAAAATTAAATTAAGCCCTATCTAGGCGGTGCATTGTATCTTTCTGAATCATAGAACTTTGTTTAATATTGGTACACATATATCGGACAAAACAATGCATGTGTGTAAACAGTAAGAAAAGCTATAAATTAGCAAAATGTTTAACCAAGTCATCATGTTCTAATAATTTTCAAATATCAGATCCTCTCCCCCTTGAACGAAATGCACACCACAATGCATAAATATTTATAGAAAAGAAATCCAGGTTGTTATTGAGCTAACCATGTGATTTTGCTACCTTCTCTCTAATAATATCTAATATAATAATTTCTATAATAACTATAAGAAAAAGTGTTATATTATATTATATTATATTATATTATATTTCCTTTTTTTAGAGGAAATAAATATTTTGTTTAGTGTTCGTGATTTTTTTTAATTATATCGGATTGTAAAATTATAACTATTTTTTTTAAAATTTTAGTTGCATAATGAGAAACAGTCATCTCTCACCTCTTATTTTACTCTACTCACATTTCATGCGACTTAAACTCAAAGCCTCTTATTTCTAATGGAAGGCAATAACCACTGCTTGTTAGCGTAAAATTATAACTATTAGATAATTAGATAAGAGATAATTTTAAATTTGTGAGTTTACATATCCAATAATTTAAATTATATAGTTTAATGCAATTTAAATTTCACAACACAAATTTATTTCTTTATCATATATAATTACTATTGTTTAATAACATTGTTTACAATTAATCAATCTCTGGACTGCATGCAGGAGTTTGACAAGGTGTATGGGCCAGCCTGGCACTGTATTGTGGGCTCAAATTTTGGGTCGTTTGTTACACACTCAACTGGCTGCTTTCTGTACTTCTCAATGGAGAAACTGTACATTTTAATCTTTAAAACAAAAGTTCGTAAAGTTCAGAATTGAGATGAAAAGGTGAAATTGAAGGTTAATTGAAAATATATAGATATCCAATATGAGGTCCTGAATCAGTCATGTCTGATTTCTGTTTTTTTATCTTATGTAGTTCTGCAGCTTCCCTTTTGTCTTTTTACAGGAAGTTTGTAAATGAAAATGAAATATTTTATATGGGTGTTTAAGATAAGGAAGAATTTGCATATTCTTTGTTGTTTATCGTATGCCCATTTTCTTGATGGCCGGCAGCTTCTTGTTAACGTTGGTCTGGCGACTATATATATATATATATGTATGTATGTATGTATGTATGTATGTATGTATGTATATTTATTACGCCGTTTAGAATATGGGGGATTCAATTGCACCCACTAACTCGACCGTACTATAAAATCCAAAATGCTCTAAAGAGAAATTCTTTTTTAAATATTGGTGGAGAAGGGACTAGAAGCCAACTGTTAGGGTTTTTTCGGTTTGAGGCCAATTGTATTATAAAGTTTTTATTGAAAAAATAGTTAAAAAATAATATAAAAAGTTTGAAATTATTATATGAAAAATTAATTTTAATAAAATTTTATTAGAATTTTGTTACATTATTATTATTATTATTATTATTTTGTCTTTAGTACTAAATAATAGGAAAAGTTAACTAAAAATGATATATAAAGTGAGTCTTTACATGCAAAAAGTTAATGTAAATTTTTTTTATTAAACATCAATTTTAGTACGTGCCTTTTAATTAGTCTACGAAATAAATAAATCTCTATTTTAATTATTAAAATTCCAAATTCGACTAGCCCTTTCCTTAAATTTTTCCACAAGTGGCATGTTAACTAATAGAAAAAGCTTATTTACACTACTAGGGTGTGAGAAAACTTCAAGAGGTGGTGTGAAATTTCACCCCACTAGGGTTATGTAAAAGTATCACTCTCGGTTGTATAAGAGAGTATCACAAAAATAATCAAGTGCACGGTCAAGGAAACAATCCATCATTATAGATGGACCTCTACCCAATTAGAGTTGAGGAGAACTATTGAGCTATAGATGTTGAGGGAAAAATAGAGAGAGATCAAGAGAGAATCATATAGGAGGGTTCAAGGGATCCCATAAGAACTCCACAGTTAAATTTGTTTGGACAAAAGGACTACTAAGATGGGTGATTTCTAAGAAAGTTCTTATATTGCACCTCTCATTTTCTTTGCTTTTCTAGAAAAAAAAGAAAAAAAGAAAAAAGAAAAAAGAAGAGGGTTTAAAGGAGCATTTGAGGCTTATAATTATAAGAGAATGCTTCCAAATTGTTGTAATTCTTCTTTTAATTAGTTAAAATTTCTAATCAAATTTGTCTTGGAGCAAGTTTTTTTTTTTTTTTATAAGAAATAAAGATATTAAATAATAAGAAATTATAGCAAAATCTCTATCTTATAGCATTGTAGCCGAAAATAATATAACCTGAAGATAAAATCAGAA